GCCATGTTGGTTGACCCCCAACTACCTCGGTCCCTATGGCAGATTGGAAGAATTCTGAAAGTCTTCCCAGGAGCCGATGGCCGTGTCAGAACAGCGGAGATACAGATAAAAGACAGAACGTATACTCGGCCTATAGCTCGTCTAATAGTTCTTCCTGAAATCCCTGAAGAGGATGACCATCCTGGGAGTGAAGACAACCAACAGTAACCCTGAACTCATTTCCAACGGAGCAAATTTCCTAATAAATTTGGGGGCGGCAATGTTGGAAAGGCGGGGCTTAGTGCACCTGTCAATCATCGCCCTGACGCAGCCGAATGAAGCGCGAGTGAGAGAGACTTGCACGGGACCGGGAGAATTAACCCTTATTTTGTGTGCTATAGTGTGCGTCTCTTACTAATTGTGAGTACCCGTTTTGATCAGCAGACAATCCTTGTTAATAATAGTATTTATTTTCAAATGCACTCTGGTATTTGTCCGCTGTTAGTCAGAATGAACAGTGTGAGAATTAAGCTCGCGCGTTCGGTTCATTCACGAGCTGTGTTCACAATATAATATCGTTTAAGGATATCTTCAGCCTTTTCCATATCTGTTTATTTATGTTACTATGGTATTATACTTAATTCTTTGTTAGGTTCGTATGGGAGTACTGTATAGTGCGCTGTGTGATATTCATATGGACACTTTCGGTTTCAACGTGCCGGTTATGTTTATTTAAACAATGACGGCGCCAAATTGCATCGTATTGGTCCAGTTTAGTTATGTATATTATATAGTGTAATGCAATGTGATGTATATTGTGATTCATTTTGGTATAACAGTCAAGTCATGTTATGCTGATTATTTCTTTATTTATGTTTTATTGTAGAACCACACACATACCTCACACAGACCAACGCATTCTCAGTGTACAATAAACCCCTTTGATTGAATCATACTGTCCTGATCCATTCCTGTGTTTTGATCGACACACCAAGAGGAAGGCTAGAGATATTAGAACCACCTTAGAACACAATCCTAGTTTAACTACTGAACAGTCTCCACATCCCAAAGAGTGAATGAATGAGTCACTGGTGTTTGCTAGCAGACAGACAATGAAGAGTAGGCTATACAATTCAATTCAAAAGGTTTATTCTCTAAATACTCAACAGAAAGGCAAACGGATAGCAACACACTTAACAGACAATACCGGACACTGAACTGAAACAGAACATAATACAGGTGTTAATGACGGTGACCACTGAGTGCACAGCTGAATGTAATTAGTGTCCATGACAACAGATGAGTGATGAAGGTATGTGGATACAAACATAACGAGTCCAAACTAAGGCTATGTTTACACGGAAACGATCTGAAGAGAAAACGCAAAAGTGGCGTTGCGTTATCACTTTTTATTCTGCGTTTAGACGAGCGTTATGGTTGGGAAATCCGCGTGTACATGGTGACGCAAAAGTGTGTGAAATTCGATGTAGTATGCACTCCAGGCGGCTAGGTGGCAATGTGAAGCACTGCCACACAACAACACCAATATCTTAGAATATTTTGTACTACTGCTAAAAAGACTCTTGTTTGTTTTTCAGAGCTGCTAGGGCAACTTGAAGGTCCGACATATGGAAATAATCTGACATGTTGGTTGTAATTTTCCTGTACTAGCGCATGCCTGTGACGTAAACGCGTACGCGACGAGAGCCACCGTGAGCAGATTTGCGTTTTTACCGTTTAGACGGGAATGCGACGGTGGAGCGTTTTTAAGATTTCCACTTTGGAGGGTGGTTTCACTTTTTTGCGTTTTTAAGCCCCCAAAACGCCGTTGCCGTGTAAACGAAAGGCACATCCGATAAAATAGTTTTACGTTTTCACCCGGAATCGTTCTCGTGTAAACGGGGCCTAACATGAATGGGACATTATGGGCAAGCTAATGCACTTCAGGAATTCAAGTAAGCTTTTCGTTTGGCGTTTTTCAGTATATCTCATTGCAAGGGATCCAATAATATATTATTTACAATACGATCCCCCTTCCACATATACTGTGTATATATATATATATATATATATATATATATATATATATATATATATATTACGCCGGAGCACAACCTGAGTCTTCTCCTCCCATTTAAGTGATGCTTGATTCCACTTCCTGCGTCCTGCGCAGACATCAACAGCTCAAATGGGTTGTAGTGAAGGTTGCCAGGCTGAGGTCACATATATGGGTTGAAATTTGTATGATGTGTTCATTGTCTGAGTAGGATGTTTCATACAAGATCTGGCAACTGGACAACCTTGGAATAGTTCCCCGAATGAAAAAACAAAACGGGAGGGTTGTGGGAGATGGGAGTGAAATATGGGAGACTCCGGAAAAAGGTTTTGACCGCGTTGACAGGTACCATCAGGTCATCAGACTTCATGGTGTTGATGCTGATTGGGCTGTTTGCTAATGAAAAATAGAGAGTGGCAAAGGGAAAAAGATAAATGTAGCCTATATAAGCTATAAAAACTGAGATAAAATGTACTTTCATAAAACATTGTAAGTGCACCACAATGGAAATCGTTTATACATACGTTTGATTCTTCCAAAACTTTAGTTTGAAACAATTCCACTTGATAGGAACTGGACCTGTTTTACGATGATAAAAAAAAATAAAAAAATTGAAAGATCAATAATATATTTTTTTTAATTTTTTTAATCTATTAAAAACACAGTGCAGAGATTATGTGTTTAAAGTAATACAATAGCTTCTCTATTGCACTCTTGTAACGGCTGTTCTTCTTCTGGGTCGATCAGGACTGTATTGATAATGCAATTTAACTTAAAATTAATTGTATCAATTAATTTTAAAAATGTGTTTGCAATACAACAATACTGACAATTAGGAAAATACTTTAACATTTTTAACAATATTTTTGTAGGGGAAAAAAGTTATTTTTCTTTTACCCAATTAGTAGAAATACTTGCCTGCTTGATCTCGTGTTCTCTTCCTCCGGCAACAGAGCAGTAATGTCCCAACGGTGAGTGCAAACAGAACCACGACTACATACATCAGCAATCGCGAGCGTTGAACTGGTGCAGAAAAGACTAGATTTGTAGACGTTCTTTTAATATAAAGTTCATTAAATAGACATTTTTGAGATCCAATGTATAGAGTCAGAGTTTTGTGGCATTTTGGATCGCAACAAAATGCAAATTCTGTCATCATTTACTCTGCCTTATGTTGTTCCAAACCTGTATGACTTTCATTCAGTGGAACATAAAATAAGACTTTTTTTTTTTTTTGTCCATACAATAAAAGTCAATAACAGTTGAAACCTTTAAAATATATAATCTTTTGTGTTCCACATAAGAAAAAAAATCATACAGGTTTGGAATGACATGGGGGTCAGTAAATGATGACAGAATTTACATTGAGTAAACTATCCCATTATTTACTGAATGAATTTTAAAATGTAGAATCTTTTTCCTCTGGGAATATCATAAATATTGATAATTCATCTTGCAATCAGTGGCTCAAATTTCTGTTCAATGAATTGCTATATCTGCAATAAAAACATCTCCTCCCTCTAATATCAATTGAGATATGATTCATTGTTGCAAACTAAACTAACAGGGTTTTTAAAAAATTAAGCATATTAATGAGTATGAATGTCAATCATCAAACTTTTGAATAATCATTGGCCTAATATAAATATATTTGAAATTCTCTACTCACCTTTTACAGAAACATTGAAAGTCTTATTTATGGTGTTATTGACCCCATACACCTTCAGTTGATAAAGTCCAGAGTCTGTGGTTCTGATGTTCTTGATGGTGAGAGATCCAGTCTGAGGGTCAAACTGCAGTCTGTCCTTGAATGTTTCATGACATATACTGTCATATATAATGGTGTTGTGCAGCTGAACTTTAGCCGAACAAGTCTTATTAGGTCCAAAATTCTCCCACAGTATTACATCCTTGTCATTTAAAGTAACACCAGTGTGCAGAGTGACAGAATCTCCCTCAGTCGCTGATACTGACTCCACCTCATCCGCCTCGACACCTAACACACCTGAAGAAAAACATTCAAGACAAGTGTCTCAGTCACTCAATTTACTCACAACTTTTATTTATATCTTAAAATAATTATTCTTCCCATTCTCCATTGGGAAGTACTTTGTAAATGCCATCTGCAAAGACCAGGTTAACTTTTCCTCAACTACAAAATAAATATGGCACAAATCTCACATAGGCTGCAACATCCCTCCACAATACCCTTCCAGTGACAGTGTAAAATACATTTTATTACAAGCCTGTTACCCCATAGCCTATAGAGGGAAGCAATTACACTTTAAATTATACATCAAATCTTTATAATTATATTTAAATGGATGTATAATGCCCAAATTGACCAATGCTGAAACTTTCATATCAAGTCTGGTACTGGTTGGATTTTCTTGCGTAAAGTAGGTTACTCCAGGGGTTTACCCTCATAATATGCTAAAATGCACTTTTACTAAATCTAAACACATCGACTAAATCTACTTTAAATGAAATAGGTTAGGTATGAGACATGCATACATGAAACTGTCCGATCCATAGGAATCCGTGGATTATTATTGTGACAAAAGTAAGAGAACTATGACAATTGTTCAATGGAAAATGTGTCGGTCACATGTGGAAAGAAAAACAAAAGTGTCTAAACCACAGCAGTGGGCGATGCTTTGCACTCTCTCAAGCACAGATAGACCTTTAACAGCCACTCTCATTCAGGCCTTTTTTTCCTTTTCTTTCTTTTTAATTTCAGTTCTGTCGTGCATATGCCCACGCAGAATCTGTTCCTGCAAAACTTCTCAGAGATCTATGGAGATTTCATTCTAATAAATATTAGGGATCATTAGAAACATGCTTTCAAATATCAATAAGAGTGTATTAACGCGATGGAACTAGTTTTAATCAGCACAGAAAATACAACAAATTGTTAGCTGTGTCTACGCATCCGCAGTGAGTGCATCACCAACATAACACCACAAAACCACAGGACTGAGAAAGTAACACCCACTGGACAGTTGCAGTAATGAGAGTCATTGGCTGAATCTGCTCTTCCTCCACTAGACTTTACAGAGACTCAACTAAAGTGATAATACTCAGTCTTATACAATGCCCATGTGGACTGTCATCTTGTTTTTCATCTGTGTCCATGGTGAGTTATTTAATATTACATTTATCATTAGTTATTTTGGTGTACTCTGTTAAGAGTTTTATCCTGATGAGTCACTCTGCTATAAATCATTAGTATTTACAACTTGTTGCGGTAAAAGAGGAAATACCTGTGAACATGAAGTGTAAACTGATCATTGATCATTTGTTTATTAATGGCACACAGAGGAGCTAAGTGGAAACAAAATGAAACTATATCCTATTGCTGAACACTTCATTTGTGGTTCTTTTGAAAAACAATCAAACAATTCATTTTAACTGCTGTTTCTAACCACCAACCTCATTCGAATGTGTTCCAGATGCTAAGACAGATGAAATGATTTCAGTATCAGTGATGGAGGGAGATTCTATCACTCTGAACTCTGGTGTTACTGAAACACTTAGATCTGATTATATTCTGTGGTGTTTTGGACCTTCAGACACTCGTATTGCTGACATTAATGATCAGGTCATCACTATATATGACCAAAGTACGAGATTCAAAGACAAACTGCAGCTTGACAGTCAAACGGGATCTCTCACCATAAAGAACATCAGAACCACAAACTCTGGACTTTATAAACTAACTGTTCTCAGCCAACGAGGGGTTTCACACAAAACATTCACAGTTACTGTATTTGGTAAGTCAAATATACCATCACATTTTTTGTTTTATTTATCTTTCAGAAGTGAACTATTCTGGAAATGTGATGCAGTTTGTTCACTCACTCATTAATGTTAAATGTGGTTTTACACTTTGGTGGTTACTTCATCTTCTTTTTGTTTGTTTTTTATATTTGATATAAAGCACCCGTTTCAACACCTGTCCTTCAGACAATCCCACAAGTTAGCCATCATCCAGGTGAGTCACATAGCATTATAGCATGAAGATTATTTATTTTAAAGGGGTCATCGGATGCAAAATTCCCTTTTATATGGTGTTTGCGAATAATGTCTTTACATCATTAGTTAATGTTAAATGTGGTTTTACACTTTGGTGGTTCCTTCATCTTCTTTTTGATGGTTTTCTTTTTGGTATAAAGCACCTGTTTCAACACCTGTCCTTCAGAAAATCCCACAAGTTAGCCATGATCCAGGTGAGTCTCATAGCATTATAGCATAAGGATTATTTATTTTAAGATTATTGTTTTAAAGATCTTTTCATTAAAATGAGTAACTGCTGTTTTAATATAGTGATTAAAGAAAGTAAGCAGAGCCAACAATTTGACAAGAAATTAGCAGGTTACTTCTAGAGCACTGAGCAGCCATAACAGCAAATACCTGCTAGTTGAAATCGTGGTAATTCAATTGTATTAATAGCAAGTAGTATTCAGAGGCTTCTACAAACGTTAAAGAATGGGTCGCTTTGGGGAGCTCAGTGAATTCAAGCGTGGTACCGTGATAGGTTTCCATCTGTCCAATAAGTGCAATTCTCACTACTAAATATTCCACGGTCAACTCTTAGTGGGGTTATAACAAAGTGGAAACAATTGGGAACATCAGCAACTCAGCCACGAAGTTGTAGGCCATGTAAAATCACAGAGCGGGGTCAGCGCATGCTGAGGCACAGTGCGTAGAAGTCGCCAACTTTCTGCAGAGTCAATAGCTACAGTCAATAGCTACGGACCTCCAAACTTCGTGTGGCCTTCAGATTTGCTCAAGAACAGTGAGCAGAAAGCTTCATGGAATGAGTTTCCATGGTCGAGCACCTGCATCCAAGCCCTACATCAAGTGCAATGCAATGAGTCTGATGCAGTGGTGTAAAGCAGGACGCCACTGAACTCTAGAGCAGTGGAGATGTGTTCTCTGGGGTGACGAATCGCGCTTCTCTGTCTGTCAATCTGATGGACGAGTCTAGGTTTGGCAGTTTTCAGGAGAACGGTACTTGCCTGACTGCATTGTGCCAAGTGTAGTTTGGTGGAGGGGGGATTATGGTGTGGGGTTGTTTTTCAGGGGTTGGGCTTGACCCCTTAGTTCCAGTGAAAGGAACTCTTAATGCTTCAGCATACCAAGACATTTTGGACAATCTTATATTATTAATTCCATATTAAACCATATGCATTAAGAATTATATGTCATTAAAGTTCATGTGCATGTAAAGACAGACATCCCAAAACTTTTGACAATATATGTGTATATCAACATGTTCAGTTCACCTAGTTTTGTCGTGGCTATGACGTATTAAGTCGTAGGAATGTGATTATGGGTGCTTGTCAAACAGTAGGCTGTGTCCTACCCTCTATCCCAATGTCCATACTATCCATACTAAATAGTATGTGAGATTACAGTTTTTTTCAATTGCTTACACACCAAAATTAAAACTTTCCCACTATTAGCAAAAGCTTACACTCAAGGAGCAAAACACCAGCCTAGATTTGCACAATTGTAAGCACGTTGTCAGCTTCACCCTTTTTTGCAAAACATTACACACAGTAATTTGTAAAACTCTACACACATTTTCACACCTTAGACACAGTTAAGGATTGTGAGGTTACTTCCTTGTCATTACAAAGCCCCGGTTTGCCATTGACCACACTAATGAATGAATTAGATATGCACATCCACCAGGTGTGGAAGCACACATCTGCTAATTTGAACACGCAGCACTCAGATGTGCTATAAAAGGCAGCAGGTGAGTTCACCTGTCTTCAACAAAAATGGAAGGAGCTAGAAGAAGAAGAAGAAGAGTGAGAATAAGAGGGGGAGCTCAAAGAGGAGATGAAGGTGGTAGAGGAAGAGGAGAAGGAGGTAGAGGAAGAGGAGAAGGAGGTAGAGGAAGAGGTGAAGGAGGTAGAGGAGGAGGAGAAGGAGGTAGAGGAGGAGGGAAGAGGAGAAGAAGCAGATAGAGGAGGAGGAGAAGAAGGAGATAGAGGAAGAGGAGAAGAAGGAGATAGAGGAAGAGGCCTAGGTAGAGAAAGAGGTAGAGAAGGACTTGAAGAGTTGATAGAACCTGAACAAAGAAGACGAGGACCAAATTTGACTCAAGAAATCCGTGCAACACTTATTGACCATGTTATCAACCATGGACTGACACTGATGGAAGCTGGACAAAGAGATCAACCAAATCTCTGGTTGATACTGTAACTGAACAGTTACAGTGTTCTTGTTGCTTTTACAGTAGTTTTTCTTCAGAGTCAAACTGTATGTACTTCATGCAGTAATTTTTATTTGTCTACAGATTTTATTTTTTTCATTGATTTCTTTGTTGGTTGATTACTGTAACTGATTATGGTAAGAAATACTGTAAATAAATACTTGAAATATGAGTCTGCAGAAATCAGTGTTGTGCAGTGCTTGGCAAGTTTATAGTAGGCCTATTTATGTACATTCTCCCTAGATCTCAAACTAATCATGAAGAATGTTGTGGGTTTGTCACTATTTTTTTTTTTTTCATCTAAATTATCCCTTACATAACAATGTCTGGCCAAAAATCTAGCACATGCTATTTCCTAAAAATAGTTTTTTTTACAAATGAGTTTTTTATTTATCACAGCCGTGTGAAACTGGCTGCAATAGTGTCTGATCATTGAGGACTGTGTTGGTTAAATGAAAACTAATAGCATTTTCACAAATATGTGTATATCTTTTGACTGAAGTGTGTATGTTTTGACAGAAGTGTGTCATTTTGCAAACAATCTAGGAATTATGCCAATTGAGTGTGGTGTTTGGATAATTGTGATTATATTTTGAAAAAAAGAACCCGGTTTTCAAAATTGCGTGTAAACAATTGAAAAAAACTGTAAAATAAGTGTGTCCCAAAGAATAGTATGTTGAAAAGAGTATTTAAAAAAGTCCCTGAATAGTCTACTATTTTCGGTCTCTTTTCAAAGCGTGGATCCGTGCTCACTATAACGGCTAATATCGCCCACAATGTGCTTTGGAGGAGGATTCAGTTCAGAACTACAAACACGAATAAAAAGTGTTAAAACAACCTGTGACCGACGGTTTAAGCCACTGGTGTGAACCAGAAGGAGTAACAATTTCACTTCAGTACTGTGACATATTTTCTGAGTGAAATGGAATATTGGCGCTGTCCCAAATGGAACGCTAGGCCCTCACAATCTTCCTCCAATTCCACACTTTCGTGACGTAACGCCGCTTTGACTTTTGGGTAGAAGTTTGATGCAGAGCTTGCGGGATTGTAGTCTCGCCAGAAGTGCACATTGAGGGCACATATCAGCCGCAAACGGGGGCACTCACGAGCACCCTTCTGAAACCTTAAATGACGCGGCGGCCATTGTAAGTCCACAAGACGGTAAGTGCACATGAACTGTGCCATTTGGGACAGGGTCAGTGAATGAGAAAAAGAGCGAGTGGTTTGTTATTTTTCTTGCTGGGAATTGATTGGATCTAGAAAAGTGGGTGCTATGAGACGCTTGTTGCACATTGCATTAATCTAGATCTAGGTAGATATTAGATATCATATTAATAAACGCTGGAAGACTTGTGTTGCTAAATGACATACAATTCATTTTAAAATATATTGTATAATGGAGAGAAAATGCTGTATTACTGTTACTACAAATGAAGCTTGTTATGCAATGTTCATGCCACGTGACGGAATAGTGTTGTCTCTGAGGTTCAAACATGGTACTTGTGGTAAATCAAAACACATAATATATTAAAGCGTCTTTGGTGTCTGTTTCCATGGTTTCTTTAAAGTAAAACTGGAAATCGAGGGTAACGTGGACATGACGTCATTGACAGGATGCCTAATGACATGGGCCGTTACGCTGGTTAAAATAGCGAATTTCTCAGGATTTAAACAATGTTGGGAACATTTGGGATAATGTAAGCACATAAGTCAACAAAATATATAATATTGTTTTTATTGTTTTTTTTGGATATTTTAATCTAAAAATCTTACATATTGTGCCTTTAATGTTATCTGCATCATAATTAATCTGAAACAACAATGTGAACTTTTATAAATATCCATTTGTCCATTAACCATTTAAAATATGAGGAGAATTTTGGCACAAAAGACTCATACTGGCAGGTCAGTCCTACATCTTTTCTCTCCTATACAGAAAAACAGTACATACTTTTAGGGCAATCCTTTTTTTTTTATTAGGCAAATTGGGATGCAGCACTAGCCTTCACTTTAGTGCAAATATAACTATTTTAACAATAATGTAAGCCATTGGGAAACAACAGATGGCTGTCATTCACTGTATTGCATTTATAAAACCAGTTGATATAAAAAAGCCAGCAAGCAATGGATTTAATCCAGCATGTTTTATTTTATACACACAAACCACCAATTCTTTCATAGTTAATTTCAAGTCAGACATGACTTGACACACAATGCTATCGTCTTGCGAATGCAGCAGGTTCATTTAAGAACATTTAATGGTACTAAAGGCCAAACCCATTTAGTTCTGCATTTTTCATGGAATTGTTTATGAATAAGAACAGATAAGAAAGATAAAAAAAAAACTTGTACATGTATTATAGAACCCAATATTCACTGTCCTTCGATGCTTACATTAGTCAACTCTGCAAAGCTTCATTTTTTCAACTCTGCCGTATTGCCAAACTCCGGCCCTATGTCAGCCTAAAAGACGCTGAATCGCTAGTACATGCGTTCATCACATCTCGCCTCGACTACTCTAATATAATTTTTTCTGGACTACCAGCACATTCTATCTCACGTTTGCAATATATTCAAAACTCTGCTGCAAGATTACTAACTTACACCAAACAAACTGCTCATATCACTCCAATTTTGTTCAAACTCCACTGGCTACCCGTGTCATTACTTACAAAATTCTTCTACTTACCTTTAAATCACTCAATGGTCTTGCTCCTTCCTATCTGTCTGACTTACACTCTCCTTATATTCCCCCTCGAACTCTCAGATCCTCTGGTCGTGAACTCCTCTGTGAGCCGAGCTTTCGCCTATCATCTATGGGTGGCAGATCTTTTTCAGTTTTAGCCCCTAAGCTATGGAACTCTCTTCCCCTGGCTCTTAGGACAACAACCACGCTGCATAAATTCAAGTCTAAACTCAAAACCCATTTGTTTAAACAGTATTATCAGTCATGACACATTTTTCTTAAACATTCTTCATAACTCTGTATTACAGTCATAATGTTAAGTTGGGTTTAAGACCATTAGTCTTTTGCATCTTTACTTCAACTGTCCACCTTCCTGTCTGTATATAGGCCAAGTGTTGTTGTTTTTTGTCTCTGTTTTTGTTTGTATTTCAAAATGTAATGCGATATGCAACTGCAGTCGCTTGGACTGGGCAAATGTCTAATTGTCCATTCATCTGTGAACTGTTTGTTTTTTTGTACTGTTATTGTGAAGCGTCCTTGAGCTTGGGAAAGGCACTATATAAATTAAACTTATTATTATTATTAATAGTATTTAACTTGTTTTGTACTGAAACTGAACCATTAACAATCTCCCTTCTCTTTTCCAGCTCCTCTGCCCATTCCTGTCATCACCAGTGATTCTTCACAGTGTTCATCATCATCATCATCATCATCAGAGTCCAGATGTTCACTGGTGTGTTCAGTGTTGAATGTGAGTCATGTGACTCTCTCCTGGTACGCAGGAATCAGTGTATTGTCCAGCATCAGTGTGTCTGATCTCAACATCAGTCTCTCTCTACCTCTGGATGTGGAATATCAGGATAACAACACTTACAGCTGTGTGATCAACAATCGCATCACACACCTGACCACACTTCTGGATATCAGTAAACTCTGTCACACATGTGCGGGTAAGTGAGGTGTTGCCATATTTATAATAAACAAGTACATCATTGGCATTATTGCCTTTACTTAAGTGTCTAATTGCAATAGTCTATGGTCATTGAAAAGCACAACTATGTGCAAAATGTTTTCTTATTTTTATTCAGACTCTGTTCAGTGTTGTGGTTTCACTCAAGCTGTGATCCGATTGGTCATCTCTGCTCTGGTGGGCGTGGCTACTGTTGCTGTGCTGGTTTATGACATCAGATCTAATCAAATTAACCAGGAAAGGAGAGCACATGTACATCAGCATCACTCCCTCACTGATACAATATAGTGTTGAGCAACAGTCTCATTACCCTCAAATACAAATTGCCCTGACATAATGGGTTATGAGATGATGTTATTATGGACTTTTTTTAAATAAGATTTTTGTGGTTTTGTATTAAGTCTGATGTGGTTTGGAATTGGTCAAATGTTCTTGAAAAAAATATGATCAGAATCATACCTGTCAAGTATCCCGTTTTGGCCGGGAAAGTCCCGTATTTAACCCTTCTTTCCCGCCGTCCTCCCGTATTAGGATTTTCCCGTAAATCTCCCGTATTTTAACCTGCATTATTGAAAAATAATAATACCGCGGGCGAAAAAAAAAAAAAAAAATCCAATCTGAGCTCTGTCACTAGCCTCGCGATAACTAACGTTCCAGGTACTGTAGGTGGCAGTTGTCGCGATGTTAGTGTGTGAGGTCAGATGATGAGTGACAACGCGGGGCAAACAAAAAAACAAACAAAAACAGAGACGGATGATGGACGCTATGACAGAGCAAGGTACTCTTGCCAAAAAAACAAAACCCTCATGTACTAAATACCGTGATCAATGGGATAACGAATTTACTTTTCTGAAGAGGAGCAGGGTGGGGGACAGTCACGCGTTTTGTAACTGCGACTTTAGCATCTCACACGGGGAAGGAATGATGTATGTCAGCACGAGAAAGGGTGTTTTAGCATGGTATGAAAGATTGTTACACAGAATAGGATGGCGTTAGACAACACAGAACTGTTTGCTCTACTCTCATGTAAAATTAACCACTCTGGCCCAGTCCACAAATACACTCCTTCCAAAACAGTTAATACAAAGTCTGCAACAGTTTTTTTTCAATAACTCACTAAAAGAGTAAAGAAAAGTTATGTGAAATGAAAAGAAAAACTGCAAATGAAAAGAAAAACTGTAAAAGAAAAGACATATGAAATGAAAATGTGTGGAATGAAAATAAAATGTAAATGTAAAGACAAGCAATGTTAAATGAACAGAAAATATGCAAATAAGCCTTTAAATAAATGCTCTTAATACCCTATAACGTTACCATACATAGGCCTATTAAGACAGGTGTTATAGCCTAAATGAAAACACACACACACACACATATATATATATATATATATATATATATATATATATATATATATATATATATATATATATATATATATATATATATATATGTGTGTGTGTGTGTGTGTGTGTGTGTGTTTTCATTTAGGCTATAACACCTGTCTTAAAATGTAAGGGATACTGGAGCTTGGTTGGGGTGGTGGGACTGCGCGGTGGGCGCCGGAAAATTTCCCTTATTTTCAAATCCAAAACTTGACAGGTATGATCAGAATATCGATTTGCATAATAATTGTGCACGGACTGTATTCCCATTCCTGTCACAGCACATTCAGGACAAGTTCATAAACTAGTGTGAGACCTGCCTGTTGCAAATAACTCTAACTGTCAAACCATATGCTTTACGATTATTTTCGTGTCTCTTTATCGTCACTTTCTACTGCAGTCTCTCTTGTTCACCACCAGAGGTCAGCACTGACACACTCTTTCTTTTGTACAGCTTGCCTGTTTTCTAGACTGTTTCCCTGCCAAATGCCTACTATTTGGACTATTATTACACAGCTAATTTGTTGATCCCAAATAAAAGTCTTTGTATGAAGATCATCATGCCTCATCTGTGGCCCTAGTGCACAACAACACAACGAAATGTAAATAGCAAACATAAGTTAACAACACAAAACAAAAACAAAAATGATTGGTGATTTGTCTATCAAAAATGATTTGTCTGAAAACAAATCTGTTGTTTTTGCTATAGGCCTTCCCTGTCTTTTCATTTATAACTGAGTCCTGTCGTCCACAGTGTAACACATGAATAAAATATTTTAAAAATCCCCATTTGTTTCGTATGCTCCGAACAATGTTATTTATGTGATTTGTTTAACCTTTAAATTACATTTAAAACTACATTCAAAAAAACTTTTTTAAGCTTTCTTCATTTAATTTTGATATTTCTTTGGAGATTCTTTATGTTTTATTTAATTTTAATGGATTTTATCAATACATTATTAATAATTAAACAATTAAAGCATTCTTCACATTCTTTCCACCTAAATTCAAAATAACTAATTTCATGCATTAGCCTACCCTTTAAAGTCTGCTCAACATATCTCACATCGGGTGTGTCTGGTGTTTCTGCCGAGCTCTTATGACAAATAAACAAAAAACAAACATGATATTTCACGACTCTTGACACTTATAGCTCCATTTGGAGCAAATGAGCTGTTCTCGTTATAGGCTACTAAAGACAGCTTAATTTTTAGCATTTTTAATTGTAATTTTGACCATTATTTTCAGGTGTTTCTCTATAAACTGAAGAGTAAGATATAGTGATAATACAAGTTAGTAAGGCGGAGAGCCTTAAAAGTAACTAAAAGTATATTTTTTACTTAAAAGTAAAACATTCTATTTGTATCTTATATATATCTATATATTAAATATATCTTTTATTATATATTTGATCTAAAACCTTCTAAAATACCTATTTAAAAATGCTGCATTTTAATTCAGAATAAAATTAAATGCTGCTGCAGCTTAAAAAAATGCTGTTATAATTTCACCATTTATTTTGCATTGCCTCTGTTACATAACCCCCCATTCATTCCTGTGTGTGTGTGTGTGTGTGTGTGTGTGTGTGTGTGTGTGTGTGTGTGTGTGTGTGTGTGTGTGTGTGTGTGTGTGTGTGTGTGTGTGTGTGTGTGTGTGTGTGTGTGTGTGTGTGTGTGTGTGTGTGTGTGTGTGTGTGTGTGTGTGTGTGTGTGTGTGTGTGTGTGTGTGTGTGTGTGTGTGTGTGTGTGTGTGTGTGTGTGTGTGTGTGTGTGTGTGTGTGTGTGTGTGTGTGTGTGTGTGCATTAATATATTTCTTGTTTGTTTGGAAGACACTCTTAATTAATTTGTAATGTAGCCTAGGCCTACTTGTAATACAAAAAAGTATGCTTTAATATCACTAATCAAGCATGAAAATACGCATGTAGTAGGCCTACTTAAAGTGTACTAAGTATAGCCTACTTGAAATTGTCACAATTTAGCATCAAAAAGTACACTAAATACACTTAAAGTTATACTTTAGTATAATTTAATTATAGCTAAAATACACTTAGTACAAAAAAATGTATCCAAAATAGCACACTTCAAGTTAACTAATCATTAACACACTTGAAGTATACTGACAAGTCTGGCTGCAAGTATACTTAGCATACTTAGCATACTACATAGGAAATCCGCCTGTGCTTGCGCATTGTATGCGCTCTCGACAGTTATGATAATATGTAATTTTCCACGGATCGACGCCTGTATGTTCTTGTCATGTTTTATCTGACTGTGTGCTTTCCCTTTTGTTTACCCATCATTCAGCTGAGCTGAGGTTAAACTGATTCTTTATAGACTATTTGTTTAAACAGGCTGGAATTTAAATAACAAACATTCAGCTGAGCCTGGGGCTAAATGATGTTAGAATTAGAAATGTCTAAATGTCCGTTAGAAAATCTGATAGAACAGGGTTTTAATTTCCATTGCCATAGCTATACAATATTTGAAATGTTTTGTTTATCACTAAAACTATAGGCTACCTGCCTCACAAAATAGGCTACCATGGCACATGCTCCACAAGCAAAAAATAAATAAATAAATAAATAAAAATAACCGTGTAATAAATACCTGAATGCATTTCTTTAGAAAGGTGTTACAATCAAAAGCAACATCATTTTTGGTTAAATCCGGATTAAATCTTGAGAGTGAAAATCCCTGATAAAATATCTGTCAGGGAGAGCAATCCAGAACCAGACTGCCAACTTTTATAACTGTGCACAACAGTGAAATAAATTGTGTCACCTAAAGCTATTTGAAAGACAACACCCATGAGCGAGCCTGCTGCTGTGTGATGACTAATGAGCCGGGCACGCGCTTCTGAAAGGTACTATGCTTATCATGTGTTTACGTGTGTGTGAGAGAGAAAGCGGGGTGGGTGTGTCATCCTCCAGAATTTTTTTTTACGGATGCAGATTGGTGTTCCCAAAGCCAAATACCATATCTAAAATCTGGATGCAAAAGTGAGTGAGGTGAATGAGTGATTTCTGAATCTCTCAGAAATCATAGCTTGGCAAGAGTGATATACTTAAATAGGCTACTAAATCAAATAGCCTACGTGTTCTACGATATGATATCGTATATTATCGTATGTATATTTAAATGATTTAAGTCTTGTACAATATGGTAGGCTACTCGAATGAATGGGAAAAACACCACGATCACAAATCAAACAGCGCATTGCCGTCTCTGCTCGTCTCCGTCTCTCAGCAACCAAAACAGCTCATAGAATATAATTAGCTAAGATTCATAAACATTAATTACTACTTGATATTTTTATTTAAATGTTTTAAACTTCAGCTGATCCTCGCTGTCCCACAGCCAGTCTTCACTTAACGGATAAGACACGAGATCGCCACTCCTGTTTGCTGAGAGATAACACGATATTTGCATAGCCCTCTAACCACTGCAGGAATGAGCATGTGCAGTGTGTGAAATGGACACATCGGCGAAACCGTTGTGTAGGCCTATCTTTATAATTCGTTTAGATTTCTAGCATGTTAAAAGTTGTTTTACAAATTTTCAACCACTGAATATTTTATTTAAACATGTTCTATAA